ATTCCTGGTCCCCTCATATTTTGAGTTTGCACCAGGCTTGGCCCAGCCTTTTAATTGCTCTTAACAGGCAGGATTAATTTTAATATATATGTGCTATTGTAATAATTTTAATGCTTATGTTGTTTTGTTAATTTTATGTTATGCTGTTTACTCTGTTTGTTTGGGTGATGTTGCTTGGAAACCGCCCCGAGTCCCTCTCGGGGAGATAGAGAAGTATATAAATAAAGATGATGATGATGATGATGATGATGATGATGATGATGATGATGATGATGATTGTCTAATCTTCCACATCATTGCTGAAACAAGAACTAGAGCATTGAGAAGAGATAGGGTTTAGATACAGTAGTAATCATGATGTTGCTGATAGTGTGGTCTACAGTGGCAATGGAGACAGCAGTAGATCTCAAAAGTGTGAATAATCCACAGCTTATTATCCTGGCATTTTGGATCTCAGCTCCCAGAGCACTGGGCTCTGACCAAAGCTTAAAGCTGAAATTCAAAACCAATGGAGCACCAAAGTCAAGATCCACTCAATTAGAAGATTCTAGGAGCTGTAGTCACCCAAAACCAATTTTCTTAGGCCATGTGTACTTTACACAATATATTGAGTCACTCCTGGCAATGTATATCTGGTTCAGAAAATAAATACTTAATTTTAGTTTACTTCTGTTTCTAAACCGCCATGAGCTTTCATATTACCTTTTAGCATAAATGTAATTAAATTGATTTTAAATCAGTCAACTGAAATAATGTAATATCCATTGAAAAGGAAATACAACAATTAAAAGAAACAACTCTATATCCACATACCTGAAAGTAAACCCTACTAATCTCTGCCCCCTTTCACATCCCCGAATCCCACATTTTCTGCTTGAACTGGAATATATGGCAGTGTGGACTCATATAACTTTGTTCAAAGCAGATATTGTGGGCTTTTCTGCCTTGATATTCTGGGTTAGGGCTCTCAGTGGGCATTCTTTTGAATCGACATGCATATGATTGAAATGTACATAATGTTAAGGTTTTTTTCTTTTCTTTACTATATTGCCCTCTAGAGGTTGAAAACTTTCTGTGCAATGTTTTTTAATAGTGAAAAGAAATCTTCAGAGAGAGAAAAAGCTAGCTGCAAGTATTGAGCTGAATCCATATTCATTCTCTACCAATGTTCAGGTTGCATAACTCGTCATTTTATAATTTATGCAGCACACATAATAAAAGTATTAATCATCAGAGTGTTATCATTAAAATGTAAAATACTTTGAAGACAATGGGAAACAAAACACCCATTTGAACAATTACTTTGTAGAGTGCAAAGAGAACCTTCTCTGCCAGATCTGCATTCCAAGAAGTGCGAAGCCTAATCAAAGCTCAAATATAAATCATAAAGTGAAATTTGCCAGGCTTTTGACAAAGACACTTTCCGGAACCAGAGTAAGCACGGAATAACAAAAACGATATTTGTAGACCTAATGACCTTCCTCTAATCTAAAATATTTCATGTATTGAGTTTCTATGAGTTTTTCCAGGCTGTATGGCCATGTTCCAGAAGCATTCTCTCCGGACATTTCGCCCACATCTATGGCAGGCATCCTCAAAGGATGTGAGGTCTGTTGGAAACTAGATCTGTTGAAATTGTCCACATGCCTGTGGATTTCAGTGCTTCTCTGTGTTGTCTGACATGGTAGTTGTAAGAGTGATCCAGCAATTATGTGTTCTCAAATAATATGCTGTGCCCAGGTTGAATTAGTTTGCAGTGCCTTTCAGGCAGCAACCAGCCAGGCTTAGAAGCTGCAAGGTTATTAAATGTTAATCAGGGTGGCCATTTGCAACATTCACACTTGCCTCCAGCAGTCAAGACTTCTTTCTCCCACCCTGGACATTCCACAGATATATAAACCTCACCTGCCCAGTTTCCAACAGACCTCTCAACCTCTGAGGATTCCTTCCATAGATGTGGGTGAAACATCAGGGGAGAATGCTTCTGGAACATGGCCATACCGTCTGGAAAAATCACAGTAACCCAGGGATTCCGGCCATGAAAGCCTTTGACAACACATTTCATGTATTGTTTTGTAACTTTAGGGATCAGAAGGAATGAGGAGTCCGTCAATTCACAGTAATTAAAATCATGGTTATATATAAGAAATTCAATTAGTGATGTGTCAACTTCGAAGGTAAGGAACAAGTTCATTTTTGGAAATTTCATTACTTCATGGTGACCACAGGGTTCATCTTCACTAGAATAAATGCAGTTTGGCATCAATTTGATGGCCATGGCTCAATGCTATGGAATCCTGGGAGTGTAGTATTCCAAGATCTTTCACCTTCTCTGCCAAAGAGTGCTGGTGCTTCACCAAACTACATCTCCCATAATTCCATAACATTGAGCCATGGCAGTTAAAATAGTTTCAAACTTCATTAATTGTACAGTATAGGCATGCCCACAGAGTTCTAAAGGAAACTCACATTCATAAAAAATACACATAGACGTTGTAGGAGGGAAATGGGCAGCGTGTGCTCCCTTAATCCAATTTATGTCACTCATTCAAGCTCTAGGACACTGCTAAAGCAGTTTTGGTCCAGCCTACTTAATCGACCGCATCTCCTCCTATGAACCCACACAAGCCCTGAGGCCTTCAGATGTCCTGATCTCAGTTCTGCCATCATCTCAAGTGCGGTTGGTGGGAACAAGGGTGAGGACCTTTTTGGTGGTGGCCCCACGGCTCTGGAATTCCCTTTCAAAAGAGGATAGAACGGTTCCCTCTTTGCTTTCATTTAGGAACCAAGTTAAAACTTTATTTTGGAAGCAGGCCTTTTCTAAAGAAGATTTATGTGTGCAATGTGTAAATTATAGTGGACCTCCGGCAATAGACTTGACTACAAACCTAATGAATGGATTTTAGATGAGATTTTAATTCTATCAGATGTTTAAATTATGTTAGGTTAGTTATTTATTATGTTGTTGCAGGTTTTGTAACTTTTCATGAGCTGTTGTGGCGGATGAGCTCCCTCTATCAGCTCCAGCTCCTCATGCGGGGACAGGAGCCTCCCACAAGGATGATAAAACATCAAAATCGTCCTTGCAGACGGCCAATTCTCTCACAACAGGATGCTCCTGACACGACCAAAAAAAAAAGAGCTGTTGTGGTTTTGAGGACTATAAATTGTTTTTTATGGTTGTAATGTTGTTAAAATGGTTTATGGTTGTAACGTTGTTTTTGTTGACATGTTGTTGAAATCGCTATTTTTTTTTACCTTGAAAGAACACTTGGAGATTTCTAGGTTCTCCAACCAACTTCATGGTCAGTTTCTGCTGGAATTTGGTCACAGAATTATATTAAAGAACAAATGAAATGAAATAAAAGCCGATTCCAGAACAAATGTTTTCTTTATTAAATAAATAAAAAATAAATAAAAGGTAAACCTAAGGGAGAAATATGAGAACCTATTTGTGGTCATACGTAGACCATTTAGCAATTACAGTCATTCGTCCTCATTTGCAGTTTTGACTTTTGCAGGTTTGATTATTCTTGACATGGATTTAAAATTAATTTATAGGAATGACTGTGATTTTAACTGTTTTATAATGCTTATTGTTTAATTTTGTGTACTCATGCTTTGGCTTATTTTGTTTTTGACTTATATTGATCTGATGTGCTATTATTTTATTATTTATTTTCTATGTATTTTTATTGTATTTATTCATGTTGTAAGCCATTCTGAATCCATTTGGGGATATGGGGCAGGGTATAAATAAAGTTTGTTGTTGTTGTTGTTGTTCGCTGCTTTGAATCCTGATTGGGAGAGAAATAAATAAATGCTCCTGCATTTTCGGACTGCATGAGAATCATAGAGTCAGAAGAGACCTTGTGGGCCATCCAGTCCAACCCCATGCCAAGAAGCAGAAAAACTGCATTCAAAGCACACCAACAGATGGCCATCCAGCCTCTGCTTAAAACCCTCCAAAGAAGGAGCCCCCACCACACTCCGGAGCAGAGAGCTCCACTGCTGAACAGCTCTCACAGTCAAGAAGTTCTTCCTAATGTTCAGATGGAATCTCCTTTTTTGTATTTTGAAGCCACTGTTCTGTATCCTAGTCTCCAGGGCAACAGAAAACAAGCCTGCTCCTTCCTCCCTATGACTTCCTTTCACGTATTTGTACATGACTATCATGTCTCCTCTCAGCCTTCTCTTCTTCAGGCTAAACATGCCCAGCTCTTTAAGCCTCTCCTCATGGGGCATGTTCTCCGGACCCTTGATCATTTAAGTCCAGTCCAACCCCCTCCCAAGAAGCAGAAAAATTGCATTCAAAGCACACTGACAGATGGCCATCCAGCCTCTGCTTAAAAGCCTCCACCACACTCCGGAGCAGAGAGTTCCACTGCTGAACAGCTCTCACAGTCAAGAAGTTCAGGTTCAGGTGGAATCTCCTTTCCTGTAGTCTGAAGCCATTGTTCTGCATCCTAATCTCCAGGGCAGCAGAAAACAAGCCTGCTCCCTCCTCCTTATGACTTCCTCTCACGTATTTATAGATGGCTATCATGTCTCCTCTCAGCCTTCTCTTCTTCAGGCTAAACATGCCCAGCTCTTTAAGCCTCTCCTCATGGGGCATGTTCTCCAGACCCTGGATCATTTAAGTCGACCTTCTCTGAACACATTCCATCTCCCTTCAATTGCGTTGCTCAAATGAATAGGATTAAAACTTTTAAAAAAACAGATTTAGAGAAAAATATATTAAAAATTATGTTTAGAGTGAATGCAGCTACACCAAGCTTGGGCAAACTTCGGCCCTCCAGGTGTTTTGGACTTCAACTCCCACAATTCCTAACAGCCTACTGGCTGTTAGGAATTGTGGGAGTTGAAGTCCAAAACACCTGGAGGGCCGAAGTTTGCCCATGCCTGGAAATGGTGAGCATAGGCTGCTTTGTTTTCCAAAAGCCGGAACCCAAAGGCCGGGGAGTGGCGCGCGGTCGGCGTAGCTTGAGTGTGACACCCATCCGCCTGCGCAAGGGCCGGGGGACGGAGATCGCGGTGGGACCGGCCAGTTGAAGCACTTGGCGCAGGATCTGAAAATGGAGTGTGATGTCCTGGACGCGCTGGAGGCTCTGGGGTGAGACTTGCCTTACTATATGTCCTATGAATATCCCTCTTCAGTTTTCCTCCTCGATCAGGAAGAATTCTTCCCTGGCTCACATGTTGCTTGAGTTTTCAAAGGCTCGTTTTAAATTCTATACTGATGGTTTTAATATGCTTTGGCCTTATATAGCCCTTTAAACTGATTAATGTGTTACAGTACGTTGCTGTCCCCCCGCCATGCAGAGAAGCAGGTCGGAAATAACAATAATTCATTTAATCCAGTGGTTCCCAACCTTTGGTCCTCCAGATGTTTTGGGAGTGATCCTGGACTCATCACTGAGCCCGGAAGCCCAGGTTTTGGCAGTGATCAGGGGAGCATTTGCACAGTTAAAGCTTGTGCGCCAACTGCGCCCGTACCTTGGGAAGTCTGACTTGGCCACGGTGGTCCATGCTCTGGTTACATCCCGTATAGATTACTGCAACGCTCTCTACATGGGGTTGCCCTTGAAGACTGCTCGGAAGCTTCAAATGGGCTGGAGTGCGGCAGCCAGGTTACTAACAGGAGCGGCGTTCAGGGAGCATACAACTCCGCTGTTGCGTCAGCTCTACTGGCTGCCAATTTGCTACCAGGCATAATTCAGAGTGCTTGTTTTAACCTATAAAACCCTAAACAGTGCCGGCCCAACTTATCTATTACTATTATTATTATTATTATTATTATTATTATTATTATTACTATTATTAACTTTATTTGTACCCCGCTAGCATCTCCCGAAGGACTCGATGCGGCTTACAAAGGCCAAGGCCTCAAAACACAACATAACAATACAACACCTAAAGCAAATTAAAAACAGTTAAAGCATATTAACAACAAGCAATAAACAATACAACAAAAACACTAAACTGGGCCGGGCCAGAGTAATGTGTACAAGGTTAAAAGTGCTGATGTGACAGGTGATATCTAAGGATTATAGGGTAAGTGCAGTGTGCAGTGTGCGGCAGTCTCAATTCTAGTAAAGTGCTTCTGGGACTTCTTGTTGGAGATTACTTTTCTGGAAAGGCACATCAGAACAGCCAGGTCTTCAAGTTCTTTCTAAAGACTGCCAATGTAGGGGCCTGTCTAAGATCTTTGGGGAGGGCGTTCCAGAGTCGGGGGGCCACCACAGAAAAGGCCCTGTCTCGTGTCCCCACCAAACGCGCTTGCGAAGCAGGTGGGATCACGAGCAGGGCCTCTCCAGATGAAGAATGCATCTCTCCCTATGAACCCTCCAGGAACTTGAAATCGTCTGAGGAGGCCCTGCTCTCAATCCCACCTGATTCACAAGCACGTTTGGCAGGAACGAGAGACAGGGCCTTCTCTGTGGTGGCCCCTCGGCTGTGAAACTCCCTGTCTAGGGATATTAGATCAGCCCCCTCCCTTCTGACCTTTTGAAAAAGAGTGAAAACTTTACTCTTTGAGCAAGCGTTTGGAACCACAGCATGACCAGACAAACTCAAATCGGAAAATGAACTAAAATGTCTAAGACAGGGGTCCTCAAACTAAGGCCCGGGGGCTGGATACAGCCCTCCAAGGTCATTTACCCGGCCCTCGCTCAACCTAAGTCTGAAATGACTTGAAAACACACAACAACAACAACAACAACAATCCTATCTCATCAGCCAAAAGTAGGCCTACACTTCCCATTGAAATACTAATAAACTCACATTTGTTAAAATTGTTCTTCATTTTAATTATTGTATTGTTTTAAGTGTCTTTTGCACTACAAATAAGGTATGTGCAGTGTGCATAGGAATTCATTCATATATTTTTTCAAATTATAATCCGGCCCTCCAACAGTTTGAGGGACTGTGACCTGGCCCTCTGTTTAAAAAGTTTGAGGACCTCTGGTCTAAGACGATGGAACGGTTGAGGATTTGAACCAGAAGACATCGTTTTTATAATTTTTATTATTCACTGCTTTTAATTGTTTTTAAATGTATTGTGATGTTTTTGCTTTTTATTGATGTATTTTTATACAAGGCATCTAATTGTTGCCAACTTCTACACCACCCTGAGTCGCCTTTGCGCTGATATGGGCGGGATACAAATGTTGTAAATAAATTTCAGCTCCCACAATTCCTAACAGCTGGTAAGCTGGCTGGGATTTCTGGGAGTTAAGTCCAAATAACTGGAGCACCAAAGGTTGGGGACTTTTGATGTAATGTGATAGGAATACTAAGAAATCAGGCCCTCATAAGTAAAGTGTATGTACACCAGTCAGGGGCAAACTTGGGCCCTCCAGGTGTTTTGGACTTCAACTCCCACAATTCCTAACAGCCAGTTTTAGGACGTGTGACAGCAACTACTAATATTTGGTTTTAAATGTTTTAACCTTTATTATGCATGTTTTTAACCACATTAAACCACCTTGGGCCCTTAAGTGGGGAAAGGCAGGGTATAAATTTCTTAAATAAATCAAATAAATACTTGACTTCCCAATTGACTTCCCAATTGTATCTTTCGTGTGGGAATAATGTACTCCTCCACATGTTTCTTGAACTGCAACTCCTATCAGCCACAATAGCCAATGAGGAGGAGTGCAGCCTATCAATTTCTGGAGAGCCATGTGATTATCTAGAACAGTGGTTCTCAACCTGTGTGTCCCTAGATGTTTTGGCCTTCAACTCCCAGAAATCCTAACAGCTGGTAAACTGGCTGGGATTTCTGGGAGTTGTAGGCCAAAACACAGGTTGAGAAGCACTGACCTAGAAACTGCATTATATGGTCAGTGTATGGTCAGTTAAAATGCATTATATATCTATACTGACCATATAGTCTACTTTCATTCTGGACTCATTCATACAGCCGTGTGCCAGATTTTCTCACTGAGCATTAACTGTGAGTACTCAACATCTTTGCCTGATCAAATAGTGACTGGTTTTGGCTAATCAGATACTAGCTATCCCACAGAATTTGACTGACCAAGTGCTTGCTGCCCTACTCTGGTGTTGGACTTGCCAACTTTGCTTATTAGGGTTAAAACTGAATGAATAGGGAATTAATATTTGTTAGGAAGGTGGTATTCATTAGGAAGCAAAGGTTTCTATATTGATTCTTCGCTGTCTTTTCAATTCTAGCATTGGTTTCTTCCAAAAAAGAAAGGTTTGTCAATTTTCAGTGGAATAGTTTCCAACAGTATTACAAACAGTTGCAATAGTAGTACAACTATTGGAAATATCCATAATAGTACAACTCAAAGCAGATTTAATTGTAGGTTGTTCTTTCTTGGTGGGAAAGAAAAAGTATGTTTTAAACTAAAACAAGATAGTTTTAAGTTCTTGTTGTGTCTACTCCCAGACTCTTATGATATAGCTAAATTTAACTCACTTAATTTGTGTAAAGATACATGCAAGGCTTCAAGGCTAGGATTATTAGTAGATAATTGCTGATAGTTGTGTTCCAACTTTTTAATATACATTTGTGTTTGGCTGCAAAATTTTATATTCAAGCTTGGAAACGTTACTTTGGGGACTGCAATTTCCAATCTTTAAACCAGCATGGCCAATGATATTTTTGTTTGAAAATTGTAATAAAATGGTTTTTTTTTTGTTTTTTTGCCAAGGTGTGATTTACATGCATATTTTAGCTCATTCTTAATTTGATGAACAGGTGCCTTATGTTATGTCCATAAACTTGGAAGCACAGTCAAATGTGAGTCTGTGTGGATGTGAATTTCCTTGTGTTTACATGGAGAGAAATAACAGCTGACTCAGAAACACACATCTCCAGTTATAGGTTATTGCTAATATTCCTACTGTTGTGGACATTCCAAGGAGTGTTGTAAATGTGACAGTTATAGGTGACTGGCAGCCATTTGTACGCTTACTTAATGTTGCAAATGGATGCTCAGTGAGAACATGTGACAGGGTTATGTACTTTGGACGTGGCACATGTGTAAATTGGTTTTAGTGGCCACATCTAAGAAGCAGTGCAAAGCAAAATACTGTTTTTGCAACAGAACTTTTAATAGTCAACAATATTCTAGGTGGGAGACCAATTTAATTCCTAAAGATTTGCTAAATGTCAGATGATTTTTGTGCTATTGTCAGACTAATCCAAAGTTGGTAATGGCAGCTACAGTAGGTTTTCATGCTTTTGGAAATATTCATGAGTAAATGGATCTTGAGCAAGGATGGGTAACCTTTGTTTCTTCTCTGAGTATTTAAGGACACAATTTTCCCAATATCTTATTAATCCTTTAGTCTTGCTGGATGGGCTGTTGAGAGATGGGGGATCAGAGATTCTCCCCATCTTAAAAGAATGTTTCTCTGTTTGTACAAGAAAAATAAGCCTTTTGTTTATTACATTTGCATCCTCTCTTCCCTCCAGAGAGATCATGGAGGTCTCATTTTTATCTTTACAGTTGCCCTACAAAATAGTCTGAGAGGTAGTGGCAGACTCAATGATTCCTAATGAGCTTCAAGTGTCACCTGAGATCTTCCCAACTCTACGGTACATCTACACTGTAGAATTAATGCAGTTTGACACCACTTTAACTGCCCTGGCTCAATGTTATGGAATCATGGTACAGGCAGTCCCCAAGTTATGAACATGATAGGCTTTGTCAGTTTGTTCTGAAGCTGAATTGTATGTAAGTCGGAACAGGTACATTTTTGAAGTGTAGCTCCAGCCATTATATCTTGTGTGTGTGTGCATGCAAGCTTTGGATAGCATAGGGAAGGGTCAATGCTCCTGTGGTGTTTGATTTGCTGTCTGTGCTCCTGTTCATAAGATTTCACTGCATTTTCTGTACCTGTGACAATTGGATTTTGAAAAATTTGGCTTGTTGTGAAAACCAGGATTAAAGAGAAATCCCCAGTGGAGACACCTTTTTCCCATGATAACTCTTTCAGGGGTGAATTTCCCTTCCGAATGTTAGATTTCTTTCACTTTTTGTTGTCTTACCCCCATTCTTAAATATGAGTGGTATGTAAGTCAGTGTTTGTAACTTGGGGATTGCCTGTAGTTGTAGTTTTACACGGCCTTCACTGTCAAATAGTGCTGGTATCTCCCCAAACGACAGCTCCCACAGTGCTATAGCATCGAGACAAGGAAGTTTAAGTGCTGTCAAACTGCATTATTCTACAGTGTAGATGCACCTTTAGTCTAACCAGTGTACCACATCAGCTATTATTTCTCTCACATACAAATTGCTGGAATTGTTAAAAGATTAAGGCTCATGATTCATCAGTGAACATTTAGTCACAACCATTATGGAGATGATCTAATTTATTTCAAAATAAAGACGGAGAAAACAAATGGCATAAGAGCGAAAAATAATTGTGAGATTTTTCAAGGAAACCTTTAATGTCGATACACAAAATATTATGAAAATACTGATATTTAAATTGAACTCCCTAGTTTGCATATTATACAGATTTGTTGTCACTAAAATGTATCTTCAGTAATCTGTTTACATTAAACATTTTAAATGGGCAAAGAGCCATGGTTATTTAAGACTCACACAACACATGCAGTTTCTTTAATATACAATAACATAAATGGCTTTTTCAGTAAAGGATTATTCATAAACAAGCAAATAAATTTCACATTGGAACATTTTCTATGTTTCACAGTTTCTGTACTTTGTAGATTATATGTTTTGTATTTCCCTCCCTCATTAGATACAAAGGCCCTCTTTTGGATGAAGATGCCCTTAGTAAAGCGACAGAAAGTGGTCTGGCTTCTCAAGACTTCTGTGAACTTTGTGTTTGGTTAAGTTCCCAGATACAGCCATTGTGTAATCTAGAAGAAAGCATCTCCTCAACAAATGGTATTGCTACAATTTTGATTTAAGGTTTTGGAATCTTGTTTGCGTTGTTTACACAGGCCAATTTACCTCTTGTCATTCTTCTGTAAAAGCTCATTAACGTAGTACACAGGACTGTGGAATCTGTGGAAATTTACCAACTCTGGCTCCAATCTCAAATTTAAAACTTACAGTATTAAATGCCTACTTTATTGCTTATTTACTTTCATAGGAATTTAGAAATTTTAATCAAAGATATATTTGTATTCTATCAACCTAAGCAGTTCGATGATTTATGTGGTGGTGATGAAAATAAATGCCTTGTGCTACCATTTGTTACAGTGATGTTTTTCGTTACTAATTAATATATATTTGTAATTTATGGAGAAGCTGGAGTCAGAGTTACATTCAAAGGCTTGGCATACTTACTCCACAGTAAAAATATATACATATGTATATACACATGTGAACAGAAATACATTCTGTCCTGTTGTGATGCTAGGTTTTTTCTTAAGATGTGGTATTAACATATGCACAATTTACTTAATTTCTGTTAGTATTGAATCTAAAATACATTACATTAATGTTCAGGATTATCTTATGAAATGTATTTGCACTGGTTCCCAAATCATTTTTCAAGTTAATTCCTGTAAGCAAATTTGAGAGATTTACAGTATATACATCCCCCCCCCCCTCTTCTTGTAAAGGTAGTGAAGATGTTGAAAGTTTACAGCTCGAGTTGAGTGGCTTTTTAAAAGAATTGGCTTGTCCATATTCTACGCTCGTATCCGGAGAAATTAAAGACAGATTGAAAAAGAAAGAGGATTGTCTTAAAGTTTTATGTAAGTTATATGATATTTATTTTGTAAATACTTCATGCATTGTTTGGTCTAGCTTTCCAGGGAGAAAAGAGTCACGGGTCTACATCCAGTTGTATACAGGTAGTACTTACAATATTTGAAGGCAGACTACAGTAGCTAAAACTTGAATTAAAGGGACCAAGGTATGATGCCTTATGCTCCAAATAATATTTAATGTTGGGACATCACAGGACTTGCTCACTCCACTGATTTTTTTTGCACAGCAGTGTTTGTCCACATCTAACACTGAAGGAGGTTTTTTATGAGTTGAATTATTTTCAATCAATTAGCCATTGATTCTGTCCCTGTAATTTAAGGATAAGAATGTCACTTTGTGATTTGATGGGTGTTTTAGATGCACAGGTGATCATACATAATAATAGGGGTTTTTTTTATTTCTAAACTGACCTCTCTCACCAAAGGGACTCAGGGCGGTTTACAGACACAAAACAAAAGGCAAACATTCAATGCCTCAAATGAATGCAAACACATCAAAATAATACAAGGTAATGCACAGGAACAACAGTAAACTTACAACAAAGAATTAAAAATCAAGATAAAAATAATAATTTTTTAAAATCCAATAGGACATAGTAAACTAAAACATGAGTAAAACATTGCAACATATACCCTAAAAGAAACTATGATACAAATTCATTAAAATGGCTTTAAAATGATGAACACCAGTATTCATTTAAGATGTATCATAGCAACCATAAAATACAAGTGGGTTAGCCAGTGTGCCAGTGGGTTCAAATAGTTTACAGTGCCATTCCCCAAATGATCGCAGAGATGTCTTAGGATGAAATCACTGGTTGTTTCCTCTAAAGGGAAAAAGATGGATAGTTCTAGAAGTGCAGTTCTTACAAATGTATTTATTTACTTCATTTATATACCGCTTTTCTCAGCCCTCAGGCAACTCAAAGCGGAATAACAAAGTCATTGTTATTCTAATCCAAAAAGCAAGTTGAATCAATAATTTTTGTAGTTCTTATTAAAGTTTATTAAAGCATATTTGTTAAAACATTGCTATGGCAGCTAAATTCTTTCTTGTTTGTTTATTTTGATAGCAAACAGTCAGATCTGACTATTAATTGGTTTATTTACTGAAGCCTCTGTTCAAGTGTTTATCTACTTCTTTTCTCTCTCTAGTATTTCTAAGCACAGAACTGCAGGCTTTGCAGATAATGCAGTTCAAGCAACACAAAAGTTCTCATTTGATAAAAAATAATGAAATCCACCAAGAAATCCAAAAGATCTGTGAAGTCTTGAATATACCGAAGTCAGCATCCTCTTCAGATGTTCACCCCCTGCCTGTAATATTAAGCAATATAGAATCAAAGGTACATTATGTTTTCTGTATATGAATACTAAATATTCAAACATTGGACATTTACAATTGTTAGCTCAATTGTGGAATATTATGGAGTTTTGTTGAAATATAAAACATTCCAGAATCTACGGAGGCCTGTAGAGGTCAATGTGTATAGGCTTCCACCCCCAGATGGGTTGTAAGGACAAGGGGAATGTTGTGAGTGCGAATCACTAATCAGTAGCCACTTTGATCACAAAAGATCCCTTCAAGTGAGTGCTATGTGAAGGGAACTATGCAGGAGTTTAGAAGGCTCCCAAATTGTAGCAGCTCTTTCTTCTGACATCTGCTACAGTTGGACAGTTTCTTTTTCACTCTCTTTCAGGGTGCATCTACACTGTACAGTTGATGCAGTGATACCACAGCTTAATGCTGTGGAATCATAGGAGTTGTAGTTTTACAAGGTTTTTAGCCTTCTCTGCCAAAGAGTGCGCCCACAATTCCATTGAGCCATGATAATTAAAATGGTATCAAGCTGCACTAATTTTACAGTGTAAATGCATTCTCAAGGCAGCTGACTAGTTGCTTAGCTTGTTGTAGGTTTCTTCTTGCAGCAGTACCAGCAGAGAAATAACGGAAGTTTTCTACTGCTGGTTAAACTGGGCATAAATTTTCTCCTGTAATCGTGCTCTTTTCTGTAAATGGGATAATCAGAAGATCGGGGTCTCTAGAGAGAGTTTGCAGAACATTTTGGCTGTCTATGAAACAGATCTTTCCTAGTTATCAGACTTTTTGAGAACGAGGCCCAGTTCCTTGATGCTTCTTGTCTCCTATAGCAGTGGTTCTCAACCTGTAGGTCCTCAGGTGTTTTGGCCTACAACTCCCAGAAATCCCAGCCAGTTTACCAGCTGTTAGGATTTCTGGGAGTTGAAGGCCAAAACATCTGGGGACCCACAGGTCGAGAACCACTGTCTTACAATATGGCTATTCAAATATCTAGCTGATTGTCATAAAATAATATGGAATTTTTTGTAGGTTTTGGTTATGATGTGTCTGTGTCACTTTTTTTCAGGTTAAGGAAAATTTATCAAAATTTCCAAATACTCAAGTGGGTAAACCCCTGCTGAAAGCGGCTTTAAATCCAGAACAAATGGTAAAAGAAGTTTGTAATTTACACATGCACATTTCCCTTGTGATTGAATGATGCTCTTTGTTTCCGTATCTTTATTTGAGCAAAGTTGAATGCAGTTTTCAAGAGTAGATTTAAAAATGTGATTGTTTTGTTCAATACGTATTTTTTGTGTAGAATTGACATTTAAAACATTTTATTTTTAAGTGATTTCTTTGTTCTGTAGTATTGTGAAACTGTTTGGTTCTCTGATGCTGCAGGAAAAACTGGAAAAAATCAATGACACTCTTCTCAGTGAATATGAATGCCGGCGGCGTATGTTAATGAAGCGTTTAGATGTCACTGTACAATCTTTTGAATGGTCTGATAGAGCAAAGGTAAATATATTTAATTCCTTGCAGGTATTTTATTCTTGAGATAGTCAATAATAAAGAAGTTCAGAATTGCTACCAGTTCTCACCTACATTCATTGATACCATTAGCTCTTGTAGTCATAAAATCAGGGAATCGTGAAAGTGGGAGAGACTACAGGGGCCACCCAGCCCAACCCCTGCTATGCAGAAACACACAATCAAAGCATTCTTGGCAGATGACAATGCCCTGTTTAAAAAAAAAACTCAGAGAAGGAGATTCTACCACGACAAGGCAGCTCATACTATCAGGAATTGTTTCCTAATGTTTAGGTGGAATCTCATTTCCTGCAGTTTGAATCCATTTCTCTGTTTAACTTCCCAGATCAGACAGAATCTGTTGTTGTTGTGGCTGTGTGCCTTCAATTAATTTCTGACTTATGGCAATCCTAAAGTGAATCTGTCATTAGGTTTTCTTGGCATGATTTGTTCAGAACCTATGTGCTAAGGGAGTGAGATTTGTTCTGGGTCTTTTAAGGTCTATAGAGTTATTAGAAATTAAATCTTTAAGGAGTACAAACAGATGCCCTCAAATTTTTGTGCATTTCTATCAGCTAAGAGAGGCTCTCTGCCTATTTAGAACAATGGTAAAATTATTATTGCTAGTCGCGTATTCTTCATGGAGAGCACAAACTTTTGTTTTCTGAACATCACCTCCCAAGTTGCAGAAGTGATGGCAGAGCTGGTGACTGAGCACATTCCTTATTTGAGGATGTCCATGTGGTATAGAACTGTGTATGACAGTGTAATTTCTTCATGTCAAAGAGTTAGCTTTCTTTAACAGCCAAGAGCTTAAAAGAAAAATGGTTGCATATCAGTTTATGTTTACCTGTGAAATGTGGTTTTGCCTGTTCTGTGAAATTACTCAAATGATACAGTGTTTTACTTTAGTCATTCTAGTACCTGCAAATTTGCATCTAAGCCCTTACGTGCTTTTAAACTGCAAAATATTTGCCAGCAATACATTTGTCATAAACTACAACATGGTAAATGTAACATTGCTCATTACTGCTATTGTTTTAGTATTGCTTCTACTTAAAAGGTTGTTTTATCATTTGTTTTTAGGTGAGAACAGATGACATTGCAAGGATTTATCAGCCCAAACGTTACGGACTGTCTCCTAAATCATCTATCTCCATATCCCATCTTTTAGCTGCTCGGGAAGACTTATCAAAGATCATAAGAACAAGCAGTGGAATTTCACGTGAAAAGACTGTGTGCGCAATTAATAAGGTACATTTCCCTTTATTTCAAGAGAGGAAAAAGTACAGTGCTTCAAGTAACACCCAGAGATGTTTTTATGCCCTTCCAGGACCCCAAAATGTCCTGCAAATGCACTCCAGGAATGCATACTATGGGTTTATTTGGTGTGGAGGGCATTTGTACTATAATAATAATAATAATAATTATTATTATTATTATTATTATTATTATTTCTTACCTGCCTCTCCTCATGGCTTGAGGCAAGCCACAGCACAGTAAAAATAGCCACAAATACTATTAAATTCTACAAACATACATTTTAAAATGCAGTTCCATAAAATATACATATCAAGCATTTCTTTAAAATACACATTAGTAACACAGGACAGAGATGAAGCACAGGGCATGAGTTTAAAATTCATGCTTTCAGCTGGCTAGGTATTCCTGCTGGATGAGATTGGTTTTTAAACCTGGAGATGTAGTGGTTCTCCATATGGCAAATACAGTTTTGCAAATCATGCTCCCAAAAGCATTTACAAAATACACCATCATGTCCATTTGTAGGCGAGAGGGGCATTTCCATCTCCAAATAGTCCCAGGAGGGATCTTCGTTGAAAAAAGAAGTGAACAAGAAAATACTTCTGCTCATCTCTTGTTAAAAAGGTCTTTTCTGACCCCCAAAATATAGGGATATTGCCCGCATCCTCCAAGGGCATTTGGAGGCAATTTTGGGAAGGAGATACAGCCTTCCAAGATCTCTGTTGCCCTTAGCCTTCCACAGTTGCTCACACTTCAATTATGGCGTTTTGACATGACCAAAATAAATCCTGGATCAGGATTTATGATCATTTTTGTAATACTTTTAATGTGCTTCGTCTTTTTTTTTTTTTTGTATACTTGTCATCTTGGCAATCCAATAGAGGCAGGTTGGGTGTTGGGTCACCCTGGTTTTTGTATACTTTTGAGATGGCCATGATAATAATGGTAATAATAATAATGCAGTTTATTTATATTCCACTTTATCTACCTGGAGGGTATACAGATACAAGTCAATCATTAAATGCCTTTTACACAGTGAAAAACAACGACATACAATACATAGACAATAGTAAAGGCCTTACCCTTTCATCTCTGGTGTCTGGGGGCAATGCTCAATTTTGCCGGCATGTCTGCATGGAGCGCCCTTTTACCTTCCTGCCAAAACGGTACCTATTGATCTACTAGCATTGCATGCTTTCAAACTGCTAGGTTGGCAGAAGATAGAGCTAACAGTTGGAAGCTCGCCCTGACTCGCGGCTTTAAACTGCTAACCCTCCGGTCAGCAGATTTCCTGCAGCTAGCGGTTTAACCCACTGTGCTACCGTAGCCCCTAAGTTTCCATTGCTAAGTAATGGAAACTTAATATATCCTGCAGTGAAATTATCCTTACATCATCTTTTGCTCTTCTTGTTTCTTGAGGGCCATGTTTAATTACAGGATGAGGCTCCTGTGCAGAACCAATTTGTGTAATGTGAGACACCCTGATATGAAGTGGTTTTTAAAGACTGTTGCAACCAGAAGTGTAAAATTTGTTGGTTTGATTTGAGAACAGGTATTAATCTGGGTGGAAACAAACCAGCAGAAAAGTATCCAGTATATTTAAAAATAAGCAAACTTTTAGAAAAACAAATTGTTTTTAACACAGAAACGTGTCACTATAAAATCCCAGGTCATGCCTTTGCCCATAAATAACGGCTCTGTAGATTTCTAATCGATCTGCTTATTTTGTCCCACTCTGGGCAGAATATCACACAACCCTCATTGTACGATGTTGTGGGAAACTCTACTATAAATGAATGGCCACCACAGCTGGGCACATCGCCAACACAGGAAGTTTGCTTGAAGCCAAATCTTGCCAGTAGTGTTTGCATAGGAAGATAGTGTGTGACTTGGAGGGAGCCTGTGTGTACGTGCAGTTTTCAAAGTCTGTCATCATACCTGTATCTGCTGGATTTCTTCATTTACTCCTCTGTTGCTATATATGTCCAACAAAATATTCACTGTTTATTCCTTGAAAAGTAAGTGTGTGCATGTTTCTGGCCATGTATCCCATACAAGAATACTTGTCTAAATGATATATTTACCATCATAGCTGTAATGTTCTTAATATGTCTCCAGTGAGTAGTCAGATACGAGAAGTGTGCAGAATACTTCGATGAGAATTAGGATGACTGAAAAACTCAACCTTTAGAACACTGGGCAGAAACAAGCCACTCTGAAGTTCATAACTAATTTTTTTTTTCTTTGCAGTGGTTTTCATATTAGCACATTCGAGTGGAAGCTATCTTTGGAGAAACTTTATAAACCAACTCTCCTGTACATTATTTTCTACCCCACCCCCCAAATTAACCTAAAGTGACCACTTTCCCTTTCACTACTGCAGTATATTAAGTACTCTGGGATGCCAGTGTTTCCTTTTCATGTGCAAATTATTCCTTGGATTGCATTACTCTTTGTGATGCTATACTAAAGACCTATGTCTGCAATGGTTATTTTTGCCTAATTCTTTAGTGGCCAGCCACTTCTGTGAAATGCCAAGCTAGATTCTATTTCTTTTTCAGGTCTTGATGGGAAGGGTACCAGACCGTGGAGGCAGACCAAGTGAAATTGAACCACCACCTCCCGAAATGCCTCCATGGCAAAAGAGGCAAGATGGTGGTGGTCGAGGAGGAGGAAGGGGGGGCTGGGGAGGAGGAGGAGGTGGCAGGGGAGGAGGTAGGGGAGGTGGCGGTGGTGGTTGGGGAGGAGGGGGAGGGGGTTGGGGGGGAGGTGGAGGTGGTGGCAGGGGAGGTGGTGGCAGTGGTGGTGGCTGGAGGGGAGGAGGGGGTGGTGGTTTCCAAGGGAGGGGTGATTACAGAGGGCGAGGTGGATATGGAGAATCATATGGTGGAAGGGGAGGAGGAGGAGGATACGGAAGGTACTAGCAGAATCAGTCCGGACTGTTTCCTGTGCACAGAATACCCAGAATAAATTATGGCTGGCTAAGCAGCATGAGATCTCAACTACCTTGATTTTCCTTATTGATGAATTATTGTCATTCACGACACCGTTGAGCCCTTTCCACATACACACATCCATTTATCACACACGGTAAGCTCATGTCATTGGAAATTATGGTTCGGGGAGAATTCCCATGTTGAAATTTGCTACAAAAGAAACACTAATTGCCTTGGCAGTCTGAATACTGAACCCACAGATTATGTGCTGTTTTTCTCTGCACAAGTGATATCCATGTAGAAAATATGTCATGTGTGAAATGGCTCTACTCGTTTTGATTATGAAGAATTGTTAAATAGGCCATTTTTATTTTTTACACTGTTTAGGTGCATCTGCATTTTTAATTTAAGATTATCAGATGAGACATATGGATATTGTACCTGTTCATACTACAGTGGTTGCATCTTACAAAAAACAGTACAGAAATCACAGTATGCTAAAACTGGCTTTCAAACAATTATGGAGAAAGTGGTGTGTGCTTGTCATTAGAAATTGAACTCCTTTCCCATGTAGTCAGCATTTCTCAGTGGGGAAGAACCGGGGAGTGTGTTTCTAGTCTTAATAAGCAGAATATCAGATCATCATGAATTCTATTAAAATTGCTCCTGAGATCCTGTGCTAGTCATTAGTTTATGTATGTAATTCCACCAAAAAAAAAAAAAAAAACTAGATACAGGCATGTCCTATTTATTTGACAAGTTAGGGACCAGAGGACTGTCAAAACCAGAAATTATTAAAATGAAACCCTGTTCTGGAGACTAAATTCAAACTGCTTTGCTGTGTTTTATGACATGGGTTTGAATGGGCAGCAGTAAAACACCTTTTGGCTCATCTACCATGCTATCTAAACCACTGCTTCTTAAAACTGGGACCCAATCCTATATGGGGGGCCCTTAGCTCAATGTTGGAATTGCAAAAAACTTTGCAACAGTAAAAGATTTTTTGAAAGTTGCCTAGTGGCAGTTTTAGACATTTACATGAATCTCTTGTGCAGTGTTTACATCAGAAGATGCTTCAGCTGTACTTCATAAAAAGGGAAATCAGCCTGTTTAGCAAGCTTTGCAAATGCTGATTTGCTAGCAGTAAAGATATGATTTTCTAAGTATTTATATGCCTACATACCTAGGGTCATGTAAACATGGGCCAAAATGGATCCCAAGTGGAAAAGTATAAGAAGCCCTGATCTAAGTCATCACATTTTTAAGTCTGCTGTATTTTAAATTGGTTTCGATTCTTTTTAAATCATTTGAATTTTGCATCAGTTTTATTTTAATTAAACTGTATTTCAAATTGGTTGTATTTTAAGTTGGTGTTGTTGTAATACTGTTGTGTTTTAAGTCAGTTATATGTATGTCTCCTGGTTATAATTGAAAAGAGTCTAAAAAGCAGACTGTCAAAAAGCGAATCATCGAAAAAAGGAGAATATTTGTATTGAGAATACAGGATTTTTTTTTTACTTTAAATGGCTGAGAAATGTCAACTCTACTCCCCCCCCCCCCTTAAGCTTATATTTACAAGGATGAGTAATGGTTGGTTTCCAGGTGTTTTCCCCCTGAAACTCCCATCTAAAAGAGATAATGGTGAGGTCATGGAATTTGTAGTCCAGACTAGCTGCTCAGCCCAGATTTGCATCATCATGTCTTTCTTGAAGTTGGGGTTCCACAAGCCTGCTTGGTACAGAGATTGTGACACCGTCCACTGCTATATGTAACAGAAAGCACTCAACTAGAGCACTGGCTAGATGCAAGGACAAATTGCAACAGTTGTGAGGTACAGCCAAAGCTGTGGATTCTCTGACACACAAGTATGCTTGAAGAGGTCAAAAGTGCATTTGGCCACATTTTTTTTGGCTTAGTCATCAAGACTGAAAATATAAACCCTTGCTTTGCTATAGAAGTCAAAACACTGTGACTTCTTATGTCATGCCCTAGCATCAGTTACCTACTTCTATCAGGCCTCATTTTCTATTATTCCTCACCTGGGAAATATATATATTTTTCTTCTGTCTCATGGAGAGATGCATGTACGGACACTTTTTAGTCTAGAATTTTAAATGTTAGAGTGACTAGAGGTCTTTAGTTAGCCATGTTTGGAAATATCTCCCTAGCCAGGTAGGAAAGCAGAAAGCTTATATTGGCTTTTAAATTGTTAACTTTTACAAAAACATTCTGGGCTTTTCCAAGATTGGAAGATACTTGAGACAAAGTTGATCATGGCCAATTGGTATTTTGTCAACCTCTTAAGAATGCAATAAATTAATCTATTAATTTTTGAGCATTTCTATAAATTTTGTATGGTTTTCAACTGAATGCTGTGTTTTGTAACACTTGAGTTTTATTTAAATAGTTTGTGCTATCAGTTCAGTTTTATGTTGGAGCATTTTCTTTTGAATGTTTATATGAATGGAGCAATCTAGGAAAAACTGTTTTGATGGATGTGTGGAGAATATTATCTGTTAAAAAGTAGGTTGTTTACATTTGTGAGCACTGAAATAAAGTATGGAGAAGTTGTTGTCACTTGTTTCTTATTTGCATATTGGCAATATCCATGGTATAGGCTTCTTTCATTAAATGGCATCATTCCACAAATTACTAAGTGGGAAGAACAGCAGGATCATTTGAGTGATTTGTTTAATAAGGTGGCAAGATGTGTGACTCCTCTCTAGAGTTAGAGATCATGCATTTCCTAAACGTTAATCTAAGATCTTTGGTCTTATTGTTTTGTTTTAACCTATTGATTCCAATATAGAAAAAAACTAACCCAGTTGAAAGAGAGATATACACTTTCCCCAACACTAGTTGCACAGGCCAAGGAAAGAAGGGTGACTGGATCCAAAAACTTGCTACATAAATTCTTCCCTTTTAAACCCCTTTAGCAGAGCACAGTTGGAGGTGTACACTTTCCAAAGCAGTTACCGTATATACTTGAGTATAAGCCAAGTTTTTCAGCCTTGTTTTTAAGCTGAAAAAACCCTCGGCTTATATGAGTCAAGGTTATTTATTATTTTACTCTGTTATATTATTATTACATTTCTTATTTTACTCTTATGATTTTATTACATTTATTATTATTAAATTTATTATTTTACTCTATTATTACATTTATGATTTTACTCTTATTATTGGAAGGATATGTAAGCAAATTTAGAATAACGGCTGAATCAGAGTTGAACTGTCTTATATTACATTACAGTTTTATGTAAATATTCAAACACATTTAACCTACTGATGCCTCAATTAATGTAATTTTATTGGCATCTGTTTTTATTTCGCAATTTACCAGTCGCTGCTGCATATCGCCACTTCAGCTTATACTCAAGTCAATAAGTTTTCCCAAGGTTTTTTGGGGGTAAAATTAGGTGCCTTTGCTAATATTCAGAACGGCTTTATACTCAAGCATATATGGTAGGCTGTCTTTAGTATCCTGGTACAGCCAAGGATCATAGAACTCTACCCAACATTTTCCACAGAAGGAAGAAACACGTTTAAGGAAGCTTTTCTGCCATCAACCTATCTGAAACCACTTTCACCTGAAACTACTTTCTACATATTCCTCATTGATATTCATGTTTAGAAGTATCTTCTTAGCACAGTAAATGCCAATTGCCACCACATGGGGGCACCTCTATTAAGAAATACATTTACTTTTTAAGGGGATAAATCTTGAAATTAAATACCAAATTGTACTAGGCAATGATCTCCATGCTAATGAAAACCTTTGGTGCTCTTTATCAGACTTAAGGCTACTATAAACTGATTAGCGAACATAAATGTCACAGTAAGATGATTATGTCATTTAATTTTTTAATAAATATCAAATTAAATGTACATTGCCCACCTTTTACAGCCTGTACATCAAAAAGTCAGTTTCTTTGCTTATCACAGTCTTACAGATATATTTGTCAGATGAAAGCAGATTTGAAGAAAAGACTTTAAAAAACAATTGCTGTTGTAACATCACATTCTTGATTTCTCTTACTTTTCATGTACTCATTTGTTTCAGTTATAGTAAATGTGAAATAGCTAGCATCAGTATGAGAAGCCTTAATAACTTGAAGGATGTGATGTTTTGGCATGTGTGTAGTATAGAAGGAAGGCCGAGAAGGATGTGTCCATCATGCTGGCATCACAGGCTGCTGAATACTTGCAAATGTTTTTCAAAACTTTTAGAGCAATGGCTATAAATATGCATAATGTGATGGTTTGAGCAACTGCTAACACATTAGTTGGTACTGAGAATGCATCATTTCATGCAAGCGGTAGTTTTAAAAGCTGATAGTGTGGCAGTGAAGCCTGTTCTTGAACTCACACATACATTTAGGGCAGAAAGAAGGCCACTGATTTGATTGCGGATGAGACTCGAAAAACAAATCAAACCCTCAACAGCATGCTGCACAGTAAATCTGATTGAGTTTCATGCCTGTGTATCTGTCTATAGAATGACTTTCATGTGGCTACATAAGGGAACCACTAACCCGATGTGTACAGATTAGTATCAGTACCTTGAATTTGACACTGAAATTAATAAATAAATAAACCAATTAATTATTGTTAACAGCATAGCTACTTCCCTTAAAACAAATGAAATGTCCACATTGTCTTCATATAGCAATCTGATCTAGTTTACAGAAATATGTATGTGACTTCTAGGAAAGGATACAAGCCAGTGCACTCCTAGGCTCTGTGCCTTCAGGAAAAGTCAAATCTTACCTAATATGAGGTTTTAGGAGGTTTTTCCACAAACATATTTATCTTAAATTTAACTTGCAAGAAGGTCAGTTGGTTTGGTTTTTGTGGTTTTGTCATCATTTGGGTAACTCCTGCAGCTGTTTACTAACTCCGATCCATGAAGGTGAGTTACAGTTGTCTTTGCACGCTGCTTTACAAATACTCTCACACCATTTATCTCAGCAACACATATTTATAGCTTCAGTCAAATTACTTAAAACAATTTAAAGAATTGTATGAAAGGTTTGACTTGACTGTATTTCCTCACAGGCCTCTCACACCTCTCCAGACACAAAGGTCAGCTTTTTGCTGACAATCTCTTTCAATCTTATTCCCCCAAGAGGAAAAGATGGACACCAAGGCAAAAGTGTTTAAGCCAGCCAGGAATATAGCATTTAAAGTGACTTGAGGTGTACTAGCTATCACTTTTGATGGTCCCATCTATCTCTATCATCTACCTTCTCTGCCTTGCATACAAAAACTATTTCCCTTGAACTGTGAAGCAGCTATGAAAGTTTCCTTCCTTCCTTGCTGTGCACTGGGGAATGCCCTTGGCATGTACTAGAGAAGTACAAGGAGATGCCCACAGAGGACAGGAATATGGATACTTCGCTACTTCTGTGCTGTATGTTGGAAAGAGGACTCTTGTTTCTCAATGCAATGTTATAGAGAACAGATGAAGTTCTGGATGTGCAGTTTTGCAATATATATAAATAGAGGGGAAAGAATGAAATAATGGCGTGTGTGTGTGTGTTCATTCATGTTTCTGGCACCTGTGGATCATGACTCCACTTCCTGGAAGGAATGAAAACCTTCAAGGGTAAAAGGTTCTGCACTTCTTATGTAGAAGGAGGTTTTTTTGACTACAGAGGAAGATTGCTGATGGAAGGCAAATGTGTGAGAAAGGAAGGGGAAGAAAAACATTAGCTAAGAGTTGTTAAGGGTTTTCTTTCTAGAGTGGTTTAATTATTTATGCTTAGTGTATAACTGCTCTGAGTCAACTCTGTTCAACTTTTAAAGTCCATGCATGACAAATTCATAAATATTTACAATCAGTGGAGTGTAGTTACAATACTTTATCAGATTTACCAAACAGAACTGAAGCCAGCTTCTGAAACACATACATTTAAATTACAGGTTTGCTTATACAAATAATCTTATAAACAGATTATGCTGGAGTTATTTAACTGTGAAACCACTCCAAAAAGGAATAAATACACACTGCAGCACAAAATAAAATGCTGCAAGAGCTGGGAAGGCAATACCTCATTCTTGTAAAAATAAATTAAGGAATGTGTTTGAAACCAGATGTAAATAAATAAAACACAAGCTACACCAAGTCACAAGCACTTGATACCACATTTCATAGTGTATCATTTATCTTGAATCATAAGCTATTTCTATAAGACAAAACAAAAGTGGTACTTTTCATTTTTGTGCTATTTCTTCACAGATTGGGTTAAGTAATACCAATTAAGTGTGCAGGAATGAAGTTTTAAAACTACTGAGCCATTTAGTCAAGTAAAGTAAAAGGTACATGCTAATGCTACCAAATGGCTTTCCTTTTCAAGCCAGAATTTGAACCTGGTGCCTGAATGTAAAGAACTACAGCCCAATTTCCCAAGACGTGTGCAAAGAAAGAAATGTGCATTTCAACTTTCAAATGCTTTCTCTACTATGTCAACTGTGATAGAAATGACTGTACTTCTATACACTGAGCACCACACATTGGACTCAGCAGGGAAAAATAACCGGAAAGAAAGCATAGGAACCTTTACCGCTGTAGAAGATCCAGTGGGGCTCAACAGGATTCACAAGCAAAATAAATGTTCATTTCACTCTACTTTCATGAATAAATAACTTCAACTTCCCCTTGTGAAAAATGAGTGCAGGAATATAGGTAGTGTGCAAGAACACCAAAATCTGAGTGGGATTCCTTTAAAAGAGTGATTATCTAGTTCTCAGTCCCATAAACCATTAAAATAAGTTAGAAAACATAATACTTTGTTCAAATTGAATGTGAAGGGTAAAGTTACACTCCATCACAAAATCAAGGTTGTTATGCTGTCATCACTACCTATGTGTGGGCTTTGAAATGTCAATGACCTTCACAGCTTCTACAATGATCATGCATAATCAATCCCACTGGATGTCAGTCTGTAGCTGAATCTGCGGCTCACATACAGGAAAACTTTCAGTTAATGTTTGGAATTTAGAAAGTGAAACATCAGTAGCAATCTGCCTGTATAGACCAAATTTACTTTTAAAGGAGTGTATGTGTATGAACTCATTTGAGAAAGCCACTCATGAATATGCTTCCCCATAACACTGTTAGCAAAAAAAGCCAGAAGATATACCCAAAACAGAGAAGCCACCACCTTCTGTTCCTCACACGGAAGATCCATATAGAATCAGGGATGTTTGTTCCATGGGTAAAAGATACATGAAATGTAGTTATTTATGTGAAATTCAGGTGGATTATGGTGATCATTCTGTACTGAATTTCTACAAAGAGGAATGGAGGAATAGATCACAGCTAGAGCAAAGATGCATGTATTTCCGAGGGAGAAGACATACCACATAACTCTTCTGACCAACTGACACCAACACAACTTAACCTGTGGCTAAATACTGCTACAGTTTGCCACATAAAACAATACAGTTTTTTTTCCTAGCTGTTGTGAGAACTTCTCACCATCTCTCACCTTGCCCAATAACTTCATTTCCAGCTCTGCACTGCAAAATTTGCTTCCTATTTCCAGTTCCTCCATTTTTCTTAATTTTGTTACCTTATCAGGACTAGAGCAATAGTTTTGCTTTCCTAAATTTAAAAAGACTTCCAAGTGAAATCATTTTCAACAGAAAACAAACTATTTTAAACCTGTTCAGAAGGGAATGCATGCATCCACACATATTACAGGCAGAACAAGGATAACGTTTGAAATCGTCCACCCGTGCATGCGCCTGAATGCAACAGACCTTAAGACCCAATTGCCTTTACTATCTTCCACAAGAAGAACTCTTGACTTGTCAGCTACAAGCAGTCTCCATGTTCTCTGCTGTCCAAAATGCGATTTCTTCGAACGCTGAGGAATTCAATTTTCTTCTGTGCCTGTTTAAGTTGCAGCTTTAAAGTCTCTTTCTCTGTTGCAAGGATATTTCTCTCCTAAACAAAAATACAGGTGTCATCATAACAATATATGCTTTAGAAATAGGTTCAGGTTTACTCAGTAGGAACGCTTGCTTCACTGGCATCCTATTCTCTAGGTTTGTGTACTTAACTATTCCCCAAATTATAACAGCTTGAAAAGTAAATGGGCTGAAAGATACACAGCCATCTGCTCAAGAGGGGAGCAATTATCACCGCTGTATCTCTCAAGAAAGTATTTCATAGTGTGCTAAACACATGCTTTCATACATAAAAGACGTCTTCCAAATGAGGATTAGAGAACACATCTGTTCTAGTAGAGGGATCTCTAGCTCATCCAAGATACTCTAGTCTGCAGTGAAGGAGGAAGAGAGCTGACAATTACTGGCTCGTGCAAGTCCGTCAAATTGCTAATGATGTTAATGAATACATGTAATTTAACCTAGGAAAGGCACATTAGCTTTCCAACAAGCATTATTTACCAAACAATTTTTTTAATCTAACATGTTTATGCACAAGCACAGCTCACATTAGTTAGTACTATGCTAAATGCTAATATGCTAAAGTAACCTGAATCCCTGCCCCGCTAATGACAAACATTGGCTTTTTTACTCTTGGACAGCAAGTTCTTTTCCCTCTTGCTGTTTGATGATCTTTGGAGACTGAACCCAAATATGGGGGAAATGTATTCCTTAAAAATACACTTAGGGTAGTACTATTTCCAAACTTATTTTTCATATACTTTGCTGATATGCTATAGCCCACAACTGTAACAAATCAAAAAGGAACATATAAGCTTCACCTACTCCTTAACAAACCCCTTAGTTTCAAGTTGCCTTTTCCTTCACAGATACACTGTCAGCAGGCTCAAAAATCATCACATACATGCATGGTTACCTGGTATACTAAAACCAGGAATTCATGCCCTAAGAATGTAAAATAATCTTAATGTGATAAACTTTACACCAGAATTTAAATCTACAAGCATCCTTCAGGCAAAAACAATTCAGGATTACAGTTTTGGCCATTCTAACTTGTCTAGTCTTTTAAAACCCTCTGTTTTGGGAGACCTCTTTATATTATATCTTATGTCATCAACTGCATTTAATAAGACTTATTCACCAAACAAGTGTGGAGAGTACCTCACACAGCTATGAACTGGATTTAATGAGACCAGCTCCCAATTAATTAGGGATAGGATTTAGTGCAATTGTTCTTTCGTTTCCCCAGGTTCCCTGAGCAATTTGCTCTTCATACTTTGAATCACTAAGGAGTAGCATCAGCCCTTCCTAAAGTCAAATAATTATGGGGTATCATAGTTTCTTGGATGAGGTACAATAGCAAGAGAGCAGCCCTTCACACCTGCTCCAAAAAGGGGCATAAACCTTACCTACGCATGTTTAAATCACTACCAGGATGCCAACCTGGTAATGACCACATTGAAGGTACAAAAGATAGCAATTTTCTAACAATGAACAGTTACTTCTGTTTATTAAGTTCAAGAATACTATTAAGATCTGAAAATATTCTATTGCTGTTTTGGGAAAGTGGGCGTTAGTTGCAAGTTACCATCTGGCTACCAGTATTAAAAAAAAACCTCTAAAATCATGACAGTAAATAGAGAACAACACTCAAAAACAGGAATTCTAGACAAGAAACAATCGGGGCCAGCTAATCACCTCCCAACAAAGGATTCCCCAGGCAGTAAGAAGCCAGACCTTGAAACTGCTAGGCCATTAAACGCTAATCAAGGTGGCCAATTGCAACATTCTCACCTACCTCACACAGACGAGAGTTCTTTCTCCCACCCTGGACATTCCACAGATATATAAAACCCATTTTCTTCATTTCCAACAGACCTCACAACCTCTGAGGATGCCTGCCATAGATGCAGGTGAACGTCAGGAGGTAATGCTTCTGGAACATAGCCATATAGCCCAGAAAACTCACAACAACCCAGTTGCAAGTTAAGCCGTCAAGTGCTCATTCAAGGTTTGTTTTTGATTTACACTGGTGGCAGCCTCACTACTCTAACCTACTAGATTTTCAATAGGCAACATACTTAAAATACTTCACTCATTACTCCAGGATATTAAGAACAACAATGCTCACTGTGCTAAAAACACTTGCTGAATCCAAGTTGGGCTTTGACAGTTTCTTTCATGTAGCTTTCAGGAACTTTAAAATAATTTCTCTAACTCTATTTATTGCCAGGTAGAAGTTTGGGAGTTTTCATTATTATATTTTCAGCCTTCCTTTCTTCTAAGAAACTCTAATAAGTAAACATAGGTCTTCTCTTGGCCCCATTTTATATTTCAAACAATCCTATGAGGTTCCCTATACATGGGTATACACATATTAGAAAATTTAGTCAAACAATCACGCCAAGAAACCTGGGTTGACTTATCTATGGGACAATGTGCATACTGTACCTTAACTCTTATAATTCTAAAACTTCCTTTCGAAATTGTCATGGCTGAGAAACAGTTAAAGATCAAAGTGAGAGTCTCAGATGAATGATTTCAAACTGAGTCTCCAAATGTCACACACCATTTAAGTATCACTGCTTTTCATTCTTTATAGGCAATACTTTGCATATAGTTTTTGTATTTAAGATTCTCAATGACACATTTTGTACCTGCTCCAGTTCCTGATATGAAGGTTTTAAAGTACATGGCTCCTCCTTTGCTTTTTGGTTGCAATCCTTGTTTTCCCATTTCACATAAGCCTTTCTACGGCTAAGAACTGGGCTCGGGCATGGAGACAGAGAGGTAGGTTGGAGGAGAGTGCTTTCTTGTAACGTTCCTGGTTCTTTTTGTTGTCCAGGGAGTCCTTCCGCCTGTATTAGCATGAGGTCAGTCTGCGTGCTCTTGTGCACGATGGAAGGCTTTAACCTTACTGAGATTTTTTGAGCTGAAACCCCCATCAGCATAATAGTTCTGTCTTTGCTCCCTTCATTGTGCTCAACCACTTCTCCATTAGGGAACGGAAATCCTCCCTCCTCCAACCCTATAATGAGAAGGGGAAAAAGCATAAGAATGCAGCATTAAAATATTACAAAAGAAGAAAAGCAGCTCAATGACTGAAGAAAATTGCATGTTCTTTTGGAACCCCAAGTTCAATGAATAAAATGGTGAATGTTTTGCTTGAAAAAGCGACATAACATTTTCCTGAATTCTATTGCTATGCTATGTTGCCTTCTTTCACCATTCTGTTCTCTGCAGTAAAGGAAAAACTGCATGATCTGTAATATAATCATAACAGTAACACTGGGCTACTATTAAAGATGACCTATAATTTATTTCAATCATTTATAGGCAGTACCTGAGTTAGAAACACCCAACTTACAATTCTTATTAAATTTTTTGGTATGTGTCAGGAGTGACTTAGAAACTGCAAGTCGCTTCTGGTGTGAGAGAATTGGCCATCTGCAATGAGATTGCCAGGGGACACCGAGATGTTTTGATGTTTATCATCCTTGTGGGAGGCTTCTATCATGTCCCCACATGGGGAACCGGAGCTGACAGAGGGAGCTCATCTATGCTCTCCCTGGATTTGAACCTGCGACCTGTCAGTCTTCAGTCCTGCCAGCCTGTATATTATGGTTTCTTCTGGTCCATGGGCTCCAGATCTGCAATTTCCACTGACTGCGGATCATTGCATCCCATACTATTAATGTGTATGTGGACATGCTCAGGTGTTCATGTTCATGTCACTGCCATTTAGTAAAATGCAACATGATTCTTTGCGAATTTTTGTATCCTTACAGGATCCCATATCCAAAACCCCCATGGTTACGATGGGCCTACTTCTTGTGTACCTAATTTCCAAGTAAAGGGTTTTAAAACAAGCACCCCCTCTTGCAACTCTTGCTGTTCTTCATCACATGGCAAAACACACTGACAACAGCCCTGATATCAACATTAAAAAAGATAACAGGATGGGCTAAAAATAAATGCTGGCATGATCCCTTCCTTGGCTTTTATATCTGGCTTTCCTCTGAATGCCTCCTACATCTCTTCTGTGTTGTCTCTGCTGCAGCAACCACTGCTACATATTAAATAAGTCTTTCGTAATGAAAAAACAAGACAGATTTATTATTTCTTCCTTTATTGTGTGTGTGTGCCAGGAGCGACTTGAGAAACTACAAGTCGCTTCTGGTGTGAGAGAATTGGCCAGCTGCAAGGATGTTGCCCAGGGGACACCTGGATGTTTTATGTTTTTCCATCCTTGTGGGAGGCTTCTCTCATATTCCTACATGGGGAGCTGGAGATGACAGAGGGAGCTCATCTGCGCTCACCCTGGATTTGAACCTGCGACCTGTTGGTTTTCAGTTCTGCTGGCACAAGGGTTTAACCCATTCCACCACCAGGGGCTCCTTTCCTAATGATTATTATGGTTATCACTATCCATGGTGGTGCCTTCTCTCCATAACAAAAATACCCTTTTTAAACATATAGCTTTCAATTTCCCAATAAGAATTTCCCCCACTTCAGAGCATTTAGGCTCTTGTAAGAAAAATATATCAAAGAGCAAATGATATCAAATGATCACATTTTATTGCTGAAAATGCCATTTGTTCTTCATGTGCATTTCTGCTGGATGCTTATCTACATCTCATTTTACATCAGGGTGAATGTCTTGGATTCCCGTTAGCAATGAATTGGGAATTCAATCTCAAGATTAGCAATGGCCTATTTAAGGATGGCTATACACTGTGTGCAATGCTAATTACTAGGAAACATGAGCAGGAAGATGTTACTGTGTCAAAGTTATGTTTGTAGAATCCCCGAAACATCTGTGCAGCCAACATACTGGGACAGATTTGTCTTCAACCTTATACAGCAATGCTCTTTTTTACATCATGACAACCAGAAGGCCATCTTGCCAAACCATCCCCAGTTAATTCTCTCAAGATGAGTCCCTGAATTTCTGGATTCCCTTCACTCCCCACTACTGCCAGAAGACTGCACACACTGCAATGGCCATTCACTGAGCAAGAGGAGAACTCGAAGTACTCAATGTCTGGCTGCAATTCTGCAGCCAGGAGAAAATACCTGATTTTTCCTTCCTGGAAATCTGCTCTCTTCCTCCTCCTGCAGAATTACAGCCGGATGTTGCCCAGTAGCCTCCCATCTCCACCTCTACCAGTAAAGGACTATGTCAATGTCCTCCACCTCTGGAAAGCCCCCTTCTATTGGGTGTGGGCATGTTGCATAAAGAAGTATTGAACCCATCCTTTCATAACATCCAAGAAAGGACACATAGCAACATATCATTACAGAACCGTATGTTAACAATGGGATTTTGGCCACACAATACAAAATTGTGAGTTATTCTGTTGATTATAGTGTAGAAGTAGAAATGAAGCTAGCATCATAGAGTTGGAAAAGACCTCGTGGGCCATCCAGTCCTACCCCCTGCCAAGAAGCAGGAAAATCATATTCAAGCACCCTGACAGATGATCATCCAGCTTCTGCTTAAAAGCCTCCAAAGAAGGAGGCTCCACCACACTCCGGGGCAGAGAGTCCCACTGTTGGAACAGCTCTCACAGTTAGGAAGTTCTTCCTAATGTTTAGGTGGAATATCCTTTCCTGTAGTTTGAATCCATTGTTCCGCATGCTAGTCTCCAGAGCAGTAGAAAACACTAGAAGCAAATACTACTACTAATAATAATATTAATATCAAGGTTCTTCAATTGGTAATGTCATACCATGCATGTGCTCCTTCAGTCCCATGGGGCACAGACTAGATGCAAGGGCCGATGCAGGACTGTTATCCAGAGGTGTGGCTTTAGGTCTTCTCTTACATTCAAAAACAACCAAATCTTTGCATTGCTTGTGACAGTTCATCCCACAATCTGCAAGCAGATAAAAACAAGAACTCATTGTCTTGCTGCTCATACATTAATGCTTCTCCCACTCTGTGAAGTCTGAGAACTTTCTTCTATTGGTTTACTAAGGAACATGTCCCACTGTTCATTGTGGTTTGCTACCTAGTTGGGATGTTTAGTACTGTAATATTAGATGTAATAAGCACAGTCTATTTTCCATTATTACAGATTACATAGTGTTTCATACTTCTAATACAATGCTTCTAAAGTTCAGAAAAATGTGACCATATGATCTGAATGTTATCTAACTACTTAACAGCAAAATGATCCATCATATATTATCTAGTAACTCGGCAGGAAACGGGAATATTATACATCAGACAATTTAAGACTTTACTACATTGCTCCTTGAGTCCTCACGGGGAAATGGGGCGGGATATAAATAAAGAAGATGATATTATTATTATTATTATTATTATTATTATTATTATTATTATTATTTTCTTGTCATTGTTTTCTAGGTAGCTGCAATGACTGATCAGATGAAAAGAAAATGAATGTAGCATTGTTGGGATGGGATGGGATGAGATATGGGGGAAAGAGACACTGAACAAAAATTCCAATATTTCTATGCTGTTCATTAAGTTTTTCAAAATACCTTCAGAATTTTAACCTTAGCAATTAGAAGGGGATGCTTAAGTATGTTCAAAAGATAAGAAATTTCACAATGCTGTGCAGTTCCCTGCAAACAACCTTAAAAAATATTTGAACAAATAAAGTGTTTTTTTTGTTACCTTTGCATCTATATCCTTGTTTAATAACTCCCCAAAGCTGCAAAATTAAACAAAGCTATGTTATATATTGCTACACAGAACATAAGACAATCAGGCACTGAGAGGATGTCCCTGGTGTCTGTATCAGCAGAAGCTATATTTTAGGCTGGAATACCAAGCTAATGGAACGGATTGCCACGGCGGAAGGAAGAGGAGATAAAAGCTCATTTTCTTGTCCTATGATTCTCCAATCATTTTGGCCTAGCAGAGTCTGGCCACCTCCATCCTGAAATAGCTGAACCAGTGTTTCTCAAGTGATGCTCCTCCAGGTGTTTTAGACTTCAGCTCCCAGAAATCTTAACTAACTTACCAGCTGTTAGGAAATGTGGGAGGTGAAGTCCAAAAAAACTGGAGGAGCACAGTTTGGGAAACAATGAGCTGGACTATTAGATATGATAACTATAGGCAGCCTAACCAGGTATTATTTAGGATACTTTTTTAGCAGCTCCAGTGCAGTACAATACATAAGGAGGCTATTGTTCCTGAAATCATATGTCAGATATAACATGTAAGCATTTAAGGTGCAACTGGACTGTTTCTTGTTTATGATGCAGGACATTACCCTAAAATGTGGAGAGGATCTGAATCAACACTGAGGCTAGATATATTGAATCTTTCTAGATTTGATTCCTTCAAGTCTTCCTAAGTATTAATGACCTAAATGCTGATTCTAGAGTATGAGAAAACTTGATTAAAAAGCAGCCATGCTGAAACAAGTAACTATATTCAATGGCATCAACAAGAGCCCCACATCACTATTATAGGTTCCATGATGGGAGAAAGGTCAGGTACAGGTTTCTTAAAATAAATAGAAGTCCAACAAATGTTACCTACTCAAATGCTTTTAGAAAAATGTAATGTACGTCAGTAATCATCTGAATGGGCTAACAGAACAGCAAAACCCTGCCCCTGCCTCAATGGATAGTAAAGGTAAAGATTTCCCCTCGACTTTAAGTCTAGTCGAGTCCGACTCTGGGGGGTGGTGCTCATCTCCATTTCTAAGCTGAAGACCCGACATTGTCCATAAACACCTCCTCAGTCATGTGACCAGAATGACTGCATAGAGCGCCATTACCTTCCTGTAGAAGCGGTACCTATTGATCTCTTCACATTTGAGTGTTTTTGAACTGCTATGTTGGCAGAAGCTGGGGCTAACAATGAGAGCTCACTCTGTCCCACAGATTCCAACTGCCGACCTTCTGGTCGAAAGGTTCTGTAGCTTAGTGGTTCAATCTGCTGCACTACCGCAGCTCCTTGACAATGGATACAGGGGTAAAATGCAGCCTCTTTGCTCAAATCTGTTGTGTGCATGAAAGGCTCCGGTTGTGCTTAAATAAACCTCCTAAACTAATCCAGATCTACTTGAAAAGAAACATTACAAACCGTCTGATTCCCTTGGAAATTGTTTTTGTGCCATGACACAAAAAAGGCTTGTCAAATTTGATCTTGTACATATCAATGTATAAAATACTCTTATATTACAACTTCTCTTGTACCACAACTTCTAAGAGAGGTTTTTACTGTGAAATCCTATCGCACAATTTACTGAAGCCAAGACAGGTTGAGACAAAAATGTCCTCTATTTATAGACCTCTCATGTTCTCCTTCCACCATCCATTTTTTTAAATCAGAAATCAATTGATGAAAAAAGAAAGCGAAGTGGCACAAGCATTTTTAGATCTGTAGCAGCAGGAGACTTCGGCCTTAAAATTTTATTCATTGCTTGAATTTATATCCCACCTTTCTCCCAAAATGGGATTCAAGGGGAATTGCCTCATACCAATGGTCACCCTTGTCCTGCTGGTACAGAGCTAAAAATGCTTGTGCTACTTTGCTCTCTTTTTCTTCTTCTGAAGGTCAGGAGGGAGGGTACTGATCTAATTTTGTTTGGAGTTCAATAGCCAAGGAGCCACCACTGAGAAGGCCCTGTCTCTCATCCCCAGCAATCGCACTTGCGAGAGCAGGGCCTCACCGGATGATCTTAATCTCTGAGATGGTTCATAGAGGAAGATATGTTCGGACAGGTAAGCTGGGCCGGAAATGTTTAAGGCTTTATAGGCTAGAGCCAGCACTTTGAATTGTGCTCAGTAACAGACTGACAGTCAGTGGACTGCCCGTTGGAGCAATTGAAGCTTTCCCACAGTCTTCACAGGCAGCCCTCACGTAAAATGCATTGCAGTTGTCTATATGGGATATAACTAGAGCATGGACTGCCGTGAACAACTTCTCCCCATTTCAGTCATTATGTTATTAAAGGTGATATTAAGTCAGTGACACAACAGTAAACACGTGTTGCCATTTATCCAGAAAAGTTTTGTTATACACATCATATGGTATAATTTACTTTTAAAATATCTCTCTCCCCCCCCCCCCCCCCCCCCAATCAAACTGCACCCAAGCTTACAAATCCAGCACAGTTGTCACAGAAAGTTGGCTTCAGATAAGTGGTCTCCTGGAAGTTGTGGGCAAAGCCAAGGCCCAACTTAGAATAGATTGAGCTTGCCCTCATGAAGTAAGCTGTGATTTCATCCTTGCTTATCAGGCCTTCTCTGCAAATAAACAAAAGAAGAGGGTCAATTGAGGCTTAATGCCGCTAGAAACACAAAGAGTTAACAGTGTCTCCCCATCTCTATTTTTCACCACCCACACACAGCCACCAACCTGCTAATGTAAATGCACTAATTCATTTTCACAGCAAAGAATATCTTGAAACACATTACACACACATACAAGCATACCCCGCATGATCCTGTCAAGCAGATCACGAGTTTTTTCAGCAGCTCATTTAAAATTCAGAAAAAAACAGCTTAAGGAGCAGCCTTCACAATCAATTCTGAACATGCTGCACAATTATCAAAACAAAGGAGAAGCCCAGGGAATAATTCCCAACACGGTTACCTTCAAATTGCTTTTTACAATTTCTAATGCCATTTTGGACAATGAACAAGCTGGAAAAAGGAGGGGAAATGCACAACAGGAATCTCCTAAATGTGAAAGGATTTTTGCTCTCTTGTTCTAATATAAAGCTTTTGATAGCAAGCAAGGTAAGCAAGTTCTTTACTGTTGGTCTCAAAGGGTCAGTCAACAAGGTGGACCAATTTAATAAAAAAGTTAAGGATTTTAAAACCCCGCAGCCTTGCTGAACAGTCTTCCCTTTAATCTTGGAAAAGGCAGTTTTTGGACTAGGTTGCTGTGAGTTTTCTGAACTGTATGGCCATGTTCCAGAAGCATGGCCATACAGCCCGGAAAACTCACAGCAACACAGTGATTCCGGCCATGAATCGACAACACAGTTTTTGTACTATCACTCTCTGAATCCTCCAGCTAGCACAGACACTATAGTCCAAAACCACTTTTTTTCTAACCCAGCCTCCAGGCTAAATTATGACTCAAGGGATTAGAGACAAGAGGAAGGATGACTACGTATACACTTTAGCACATACACAAAGAAAGGTCATAGCCATACAGCCCGGAAAATTCACAGCCAGCTGGTGATTCCGCCCATGAATTCGACAACAGTTTTTGTACTATCACTCTCAGGATCCTCCAGCTAGCATAGACACTATAGTTCAAAACCACATTTTTTCCTAACCCAGCTTCCAGGCCAAATTATGACTCATGGTATTAGAGACTAGAGGAAGTATGACTGCGTATATACTTTAGCACATACACAAAGGTCATGGCTACTTTGCTGGCATTCTAAGTAGAAGCACTGCTCCATTTTGTTGTATATTTGGTATGTCTCACCTCCCCATCCCAAGCTTGGCTCTCCTGTCTCCTATAAATCTGGCTGGCATGTATATGTTTTTCTCTTGTCCACCTATTGAAAAACTAGTGACAGACTGGTGAAAAAAGTTGGACCTGAAAAACAGTAGGCCACTTGATAGTTAAAAAAAACCTATCATTACAAAAGCCCAGGGCCAAGAAAAGAAAACATCCAGGTTTATATTTCAATCACAGTAAGTGCCTCCAGGCAGCTGACCTAGCTCAGTTTAGCATTGTTGCTCCAAAGACAGTTAACAAAGACTCTCTTTGTATGCCATGGACTGATTTCTTTGGCATTCTGATTTTCTCAGAGAAAGTTCACATAGCGTTTTCCAACAGATCAATCACCGTCAGCTCCTCTATTTCTGAAAAAGGTGTCTTCAGGTACTGCAAAAAGCCCATTTCAGATGTACCTGCTAGTCACTACTAGCAATGCCATCTCTCATCAACAGCAACACCTCAGGAGCAGTTGCAAAGGGTTAGATATTGTCGAAGTCCAAATCAATCTCCGGATCTGGATATTTTCCCACACATTTCCTTCACTGACTGGCTGCAGTTAAAATACCTAGTGGACTTTCATACCACAGCTATAGTGCTATGAGCACACTCGAATATCCATGGTTCCATGTATAGAATCCTTAAATTTGCAGCTTAGAGAGGAGCATTGAGAATGGTCAGTCACATCAAACTGCAAACTCTGAGGCTGCATAGGTTGGAGCCATAGTTTAAAAAGAGAACCATAATGTTGTAATTGTAGCATCTAAAAGTGTGCTTGGTAAGCATCCACATTTTATTCCAGGATGAAAACAGAAACCAATACTTTTGATAATTACTAATGGGTTTAATAGTTTAATACAAGCTATACACACATCTTTTCCCCAACACTGTGGAAAACTAGAAGAACAGCAGACAGCTACAATATTCGGTCTCAACTTAGGGAATAGATTTGAGTCCTATACAACAACATGTATGTTGTGTGCACTGAGACCCCTCTATTAAAATAGGGCATTCCAGATGATTTGTTCTGTACAGTTCCTCATGTCTTCCAGGTTCAAAGTCAATAAACAAGAGTAATGATCAAGGAAGCCACTCACTCACTGCTTCTGAAATGTCCAAATGTCCTCTCAGTTATGCAGACAGTTACCCTAAGAAATTGTAGTTCTAAGTCCAGACTGGCAGTGACTTGTCTAGCTGCACATTAACTCAAGAAATATTTCTTGCCCCTAGTTCAAGATGTGAAAGCATCTTCACATTTAAAACACACACAAACACTCACGACAGCAAATGCAAAAGTAAAGTTTGAATATACACACCTGTCCTTGTCCATTATACAAAATGAGAAAGGAAAACTTGCTGCTATCTTCTCAAATTCTTCCTGAGAGATGTATCCATCCTGATCATGGTCATAATTTTTGAAAACCGACTGTATGAGGTAACAAGAAAAAACTAAATTGAAACAAGTTAAATTTCACTTAATTTTATTGGAACAGAATGAAGATATTAACTTTTGATGCTTGTGACTATGATTTAAACTTAAATCTTTTCTGTATGATGTTGTATTATGCCAAGAGGTAAATTTATGAATACAGCTGTCGCCACAGATTCTGCATCCATGGATTGACCCATTCATGGCTAATCATCATCATCATCAATAATAATTATTATTAATTATTATTTAATTATTTAGTAATATTTATTTATTTAATTAGTTTATCATTAATTAATGATATTAATAATTAATAATATTAATAAAATATTAACAATACATCACACAGTCCTAGATGCTTGGGAAGTATTCGACATGATTTTGTGATACGAAATCCAGCATGTATATCTCGTTTGCTGTGACACACTGTGTTTTGTGTCAGTAAAATGATAATAATAACAATTTAACCCACCCTCTCTCCCCAAAGGGACCAAGGGCAGCTTCCAAAAACAAAATGGCAAATATTCCATGACATGTGCAGTATCAAAATAAGAAGAATAAGCAATAATAGGCAAACAAACAGCAATTGAAATGAACAGTTAAATTAAATAGATTAAAATGAACAAATGAAAGCAACCTTAGCAAGAGAATGTAATCAATCAGGTCTCATAAATAACACATTAAGCATAAGAAGTTAAAATCTGTATATAATCTAAGGATATAAAAATGTGACTAAGGATACAAAAATGTGATCGGGATATCATTTTTACACCACCATTATGTGCAATAAGACTTGAGCATGTACAGATTTTGGTATCAGAGAAGAGAAGGAAGGCAAAGGAGCTACAGTAACCACATTTGTAAGTGACATATAGCTACTTCAATCCTGTCAATGAAATCTGGTAATTCTGTGAGCTCACTGACAACAGGACATTGGTGCTAACCCTGATTGGGTTTTTTGTTTTTTTTTTTGCATTGGTGAGGAGGAATCCTTTTGTTGAGTTTTGCTACTTGCAATCTTTCTTTCCAACCTAAGAAGAAAAACCACCTCCCTTCTCTTTGCAGTGATGGAATGACAAAATTCCAGAAAAACAAGAAAAATATACATACTGCAAGAAGTTTTAACATGATAAAACACAGAAACACAAGACACGGCTATCAAACATGCATGGTAAATAATAATGCATACTTACATCTACCATCCTCTGAACATGCTTGCTTATGGTCTTTGGATCAGGTTTTGGAGCAATGCCGGATGCCCAGTCTGCTACTACTATTGGGGGTTTAGAAGGCGTCAGAGGCTACAGTAAGAATAAGATTACACAAATAAGAACTTCCTTTCTGTGTTATTGTAGGAATAAAAAATACTAAACTACAAATTGGATTTTTTTTTTTTGTATTCACAATATTTTTATTCAGAAACGTGCAGGTACAAGGAGGTACAAGGACTTGCCCTTATACGAAGACAGAATCCTATGTAGGTGTCTGTAGGTACAATCTTGTCTGCCACCTGAGTACAGGTTTTGGGGGAAGGCTACGATGACAAAAAATGTTTTTGTCATCATAGAGAAGTGAACTAGGAAAATGACAAAAATCCCATCATATTGAGCATTATATTGGGCCGGAGGTTTAGCACAGCTGGTAAATCACCAGCAATTATAAGATCTATCAACCAAAAGGTTGCAAATTTGAAGCCCGGGGTTGGCATGAGCTGCCAACTGTCAGCCTAGCTCACTATTTACCTAAATGGTTAAAAAACAGCTTTACCTGTAGAGAAATTAGGTACCGCTAAAAGTGGGGGAGGTGTTTTACAATGCCATAAAGAAATAAGATCAGAAAATGCTGGGCGGCCAAAAAGGAAGGGGGAAGTCCTGACAGCTCTTCGTCACAGAGGATGAAGCAACAGCACCCCCTATAGCTGGACTCGAGCCCAACTTTCCATGGCACCAAAAGTCGAAACAAACCACCTCCTACTGTTCTATCTGTCTGTGTATTGGCTGTACAAAGCAGCATTGAGTGTTTGCCATGTATGTGTACTGTAATCCGCCCTGAGTCCACTTCAGGGTGAGAAGGGCAGAATATAAATAAAGTGTTGTTGTTGTTGTTGTTGTTGTTGTTGTTGTTGTTGTTGTTGTTGTTGTTGTTATATCTGATTTAGGCCAAGTAAGCTTGCCATTTAACTATCATGATGCAAGTTACATGATGTCTGTACTTGTCAGTACTTCCCATCAGAAGTTCACTCCAGACCCTTAGTATCATAATCTGCCACAACATGGAAGTGAAAAAACCACAATTTCTCAATGCCTCTAAGTATGGAAACCCAGTCACGAAAGGACTGAAACACTGTGAAGGTTCAGCAACCACTTCCCAAGTGAAAGTACTTACAGTAGGGTTGAATGCAGGGAGTAGCTTGTTTCATTTTCTTTCTGACTGGGAAGTTCAGAAAGTTCAGACCGACCATCAAGTTCTTCCATCTGACCTCAGCAGAGCATTATCATTTCTATGAGGGGGGAGGGGTGTGCTGTCCGCTATCGTATATGAGTCGCCTCCATCGCGACCATTAATCTTGAACCCGGAGGCTAACATCAACCACCTATTGACGCCCATCCAATATCCATTGTTCCATATTATTCAATATTGTATGCCATAACAAAGCCATTAATAACAACTGTGTTTATTGCTGCACTGTCTACTGCACTTTAACAGCCTGCAAGTTCGCTTAGAATAGCACTTTGTCAACCCCTATTCCTACTGCTGTTAATCCCATATTTTATGCTGCTATTGACCCATCTTAGCACTTTACCTCCATGCTGCACTTTAACAACTAGCACATTGCACTTTAAGAGCTAGAGAGAGTACCCGCCTCATATTGAGTTCAGGAAGCGTTAATAAGTGCATTGATAACTGTTATCCATGTGCTCCCCCATTCCTTGGTACCTTCTATCTGTACTGTTAATCCTCTGGGGAGGGGTCTGGGGACGCAGCGGGCTGGAGACGGGAGGAAATAGTGGGGCGGGGGGGGGAACATAGGGGCTGGAAAGGCGAATGGGTTTAAGATCCCAACAAGCCATGCAACTAACAATGAAATGCGAACCGAGATTACAGGGATGGAATGTGGCATGGAGGGGGGAGGGTGTTCCATCAGCCGAGGGGCCCCCATAGAAGTGGTGGTGGGAAAGGGGAGATGTGGAACAAGGAGACCAACAATTCGGCCTATGGATCGTATTCCAACATTAGTAATTCCAAACCGGTCTCCTTATATGGTAAATTGGTGTAACCAGGTTGGCGGTCCCTCCAGATTGAAGGTGGTGCTGTTGAACGCCAGATCTGTCAACGGAAAAACCACCTTCATCCAAGACTTAATTTTGGATGAGCGGGCAGATCTGGCGTGCATCACGGAGACCTGGTTGGATGAGGCTGGGGGGGTGAATCTCACCCAGCTCTGCCCGCCAGGCTTCTCCATGCAGCACCAACCAAGATCCGGAGGGCGGCGAGGCGGGGTTGCAGTGGTCTATAGAGATTCCATCCCTCTGACCAGGGGTCCCATCCCGCAGACTACAAATTTTGAGGGC